GGGAGCCACAGACGTGGCCATCCCAGCGGACAGCTGCTCGCGGAAGAGCCCTCGCCACGGCACGTCAGGAGGCATCTTTACGAACTGACGGACGAAGTCCAGAGGTTTATCAAATCCGGCATGTGGAGAGTCGCCACATGACTCCCGGCACCTCTTCACATGCCCTGAGAACCCCACTCAGCTAACGCCCCTGTCCCTATGGACAGCCCCTGTGGAAGTAGCACATTTCCTGGGCCTCCCCCTAGCTGAAATTGACGACAACGTTTATGGATGAACCGCCCCGATGTGGCCACCCAATCAGACAGCTGCTTGCAGAGGAGCCCTCGCCTAGGCACGTCAGGAGGCATCTATACGAACTGACGGACGAAGTCCAGAGGTTCATTAAGCAGCCTCTGGACCCGTCAGCATACCGACAGGCCCTGAACGGCATTCACAAGGACTCAGTCTCGAGTAATGTAGACTCTAGACCTGTGAATGCCGTTCTAGGCACACAAACTTCGGACATTGACGCGACGGAGCTCCATCTGCCTCGGGAGACAAGAACAACAATAGCCCAACTTCGCTCTGGCTACTGCAGCTAGGGATGTTCCGATATAAGTAAATACGAGTATGTACTCGATACTTTAGTTTCAGTACCAACTACTTTTTTTACTTGAATCGTTTCATCGATACCTACTTAGTATCGAAATAAAAGTACTTGTATCGAATCGATTTGAGGAAGTGCCATATCTTTCGGTCATATATTTTCTATGGAAAATAATTGCTTCGCTTTTATGAAAAATAATTGATCTAAGCAATGGCACCGCCAAAATCTAAAGAGGGGATATATTTTTACAAAGTTCAAGCAATGCCTTGTAGCCGTAATGTTTTGTGGGAACCTTTCAAAGGTTTAATTTTTTGTCTAAGTAATCGTATTACTTCTAATGTTACTAATGATCAAATAAACATATCGATACCTCAACTGAAAATATATTGAAAATATTTGAGATAGGGCGCTTTGAATCGGCAGCTGATATATGGCGTTTTTGTACCGAGTTCTGAAAGAGGGTGGCCTTGAAGTTTTCTGATATAAGGCGTTTTTCAATCAAATTCTGGAATAGGGTGCTTTTGAAAAGTTTTCTCAGATAGGGCGCTTTCAGTCTGGCTGCCGAGATAGGTCGATCTACCACTCAGGTGTCGCAAAAGGTATGTCACAGATAACGCCTGAAAATTACTTTCGCTTTGTTGCATATAAAAGGATGAAAAGTTATCGATATAAGTAGGTATCGATACATTCGGTTCACTCATATAAGTAGTAACGAAATAGGGATTTGAGTAAACTCATTCGAGTAGGTATCGATACTTTGATGGTATCGGAACGTCCCTAACTGCAGCAGGTTAAACTCATACCTGAATAGACTAAATGCGGATCTGCCAAATGAGTGTCCGGCATGCGGAGAGACTCCTCACGAATCGAAACATCTCTTCGCATGGCCGGAAAACCCGACAACCCTAACGGCGTTGTCCCTGTGGACCGACCCTGTAGAGGATGCACGCTTCTTAGGGCTGCCGTTAGTGGAACTCGACGACAACGACTGAGATATCAACCGATCTGGGCGGGTTTGTTGTAGCCGCTACAACAACAACGCTAACTATCGCCAAACAGGGCCGCTGTAACCGTCACCACCAATCAGGGCCCGCTGCTACTGTCATCACCACTGGGGCCGCCACAATTATCGTCGCCCCAGGCCGCCGTTATTACCCGTCTCGAGTACGAAAATCTCTACTGCGAACGTCAACCATCGCCTTCCAGGACCGCTGTCACCGTCGTAGTTAAAAATGGCCGCATTCGCCCTCGCCACAATCAGGGCCGCATACAACACCACTGCGGGAGGTCACTGCCGCCCTCATCATTATATGGGCCAGCCAACGTCACCGCTGAGGCCGCCACTGCGAGGGAACTGCAGGCTGCCGTCGCAGTCATCGCAATCGCCATAACAACCACCGCGACTGCTCTCATTGCCACGCTCTTCGCTACGACTGACGCGGACCACTGCCAACTTGCTGTCACCAGTAGCGCTCCCGTCGCCGTACAAATACCCGCCGAATAATCTCCGACACCGGCTGCCGACTCTCTCTTTATCTCCCTCTCTCCCCTGCACTACAAGTTGCCGGTATTCTAGTTAGCCGCGTGTGTGTGTGGGTGTGTTCGACTTAATACACAAATCATTGTGTTTTATTTGGTGGGGTTAGTGGGACCTTCGCTGGACTCTGGAGCGGCTGAGCATACCTCAACCTTCGACAAAACCGACCTCATAAAGAGTTTGTGGAAGAATACTGGAACTTGGTATGTAGTTAGGTATATAAGATGTATCCATTGCTCATAGAAAAAATTACATCCTAAAAATTGCTTAATACATACCTCTGGGAGGATAGAAAATCTCTGGAAGTACATATTTTAAATATGTTTAGATTTATTTTATCAGTAGCGTACTTACAGAAAAGATTTCAGTTGATGGAAAAGGGAAAGCCGGCTTCGGCCATATAATCTGATGCTCTCATCATGCGTACATACCTCTTGAGGCATTTAGCCACAGTACTGCGAAGTGGTATTTTATCAAAACTAGGTTACTGAATTTGAGTTGGAAGTATTAGAACCCGCCGTGGCACCTGACAGAAGGTTACACGTTCGCGCGGCGCATCCCTGAACCCATTTTAACGTTAACTTAGAGGAATTGATATCTTTCGTGCAGACGAGATTTTATAATTTCATAGTTTTAAACGGCCTAAATACCTTAACTCGCTTAAAAATACAGAGCTATGACAAAATGGACACAGAAATAAACTATAACATCTTTAAATTATTTTTCAGATTTGTATAAAAACATGGGGTGAAACCCGCGGGCATAAGCTAGAAATGAGTAAACGGTTTTTTTTGTTAAATATTTTTGTTAAATATTTGCATCGGTTTTACAGTTAGTTTTTTTGTAATTTTTCATAAAAATAAGGTTCATGCTTTAACCAAAACTATATAAATCAACTTTTCAAACTTTATACAGAGCTTAGAAATATTTAATATTCATTAAAATTGCAGTATGCAGTTTGGTAGTCCATTAAAGTGCAAGTTCTAAGCGGCTGCAAAATCGCGTTGATTTTTAATATTTTTTTTTGCTGACGACTTTTACGGGCTTTTCATAAATCGAGTGTTAAGCATTGTTCACTCAAAATCGGTACGCATAAAATGGGTTATATCTTTTTAACAGGTTTTCAGAAAAAAATATTTGATATGTTAAAATAAAGAGAAAACATTCCGCTATAGATAGATATTAGCGAAAGTTTCATATTTTGCTTGGATAAACAAATAACAGACAATTTCTTTGATAATGATAAAATTTTTATGAACACCCGTTCTAGAGACTTGAGTAGTCAACTTGTTCCACTAAACTATCTTTAGTTTATGTTTTTTCATAGTTCGCGCATCTCTACTAATTTTTTTTTTAATAAATACCGTGTATTTTTCGATTTGACGTAAATAGGACATATTCGTAAATTGATGAGTTCCAGAACTTTATTCATATCTTTGGCTTGAAACCGATTTAAAGTTACCTGTGAATAATTAATTTTCATTAAAACCAACCAAAACTTTACTGAAGGGAACGGTAAATGATACAATGGCTTAACACTTTGTGCAAGTGCTCCTTCCAGCATATTTCTGGGATCATATGACCCATTGTGGAGTCTGATCGAGTTTTAATGAGACTGTTTCGATTCTCTCGTCATTTCATATCCCTTTAACAACTGTGTCAACTTATATAAATTTAGTTTTAAGAGGATATCACCCTGTTTATTTTTAGCTTAAAACTTTTAACGTGGGAGTTGACCGAAGTCAAGTTTTAAACATGTTTTTTAGTCATTACTAAAAAAATACCACATTTGGTGTGAATATTGGGGTAAAGTAAACGGGTGAGGTTTTTGTTATAAAATTAATTTAATCTAACATAATTATATATATTATAACTCGATAAGGTTTAAGTTTTGCCATAGCTTCCATTCGCTGAACTGTGGATGATCGTTTTCCAATTCTCTCGCGCGATCTTCTGATAAGCCGTTTTTTTTTATAATTGAGGTAAAGAGCCTTATCCTTAAGCTGGTGCGAAAAGATTTTTTTTGATGATTAGCTTACTCTGTTAGTTTAAGCAGAAGGAATCCATTCATTGATTTTTTGAGGAAAATTAGAAGTTTTTGGTATATTTAATTTAAATTTAATTTTTGATCTCGAGTGTCGGATTTTCAACGAATTCGTTTAACGCTATTTTTTGAGCAGCCACTTCCAACGCGAATAAAACTGTCAAATTAAAAGCCAGTACTATGAAATTTCAACCTCATAATGGTATATCTATTGTCTAACGATCTGCATTGCAACTTTTTAATACATTCAAACAATTGCCGTACAGGAATTGCTGGAACGCGTACCGATTTTAAGTGAACAATGCTTTAATTCATAAAAACTGGATTTTTTTTTAATTTTATTTGCAAATGGTCTAGCGAATTTTCTTCCATAAGAAATTCATATTTGCATGGAAAAAGTGCAAAAAGCCGTCAACAAAAAAAAATTAATAGACTACCAAACTGCATATCTACTAAAAAAAATCTAAAAAAACAGATTAAAAAGTTGAAATTTTCACAGAACGTTAGTTAAAACAAATAAAACACCCCTATTATAGCGGAAGTATCGCTCTTTCATATGAGCCTAGTTAGGCAGGTGTAAGACAATTTTGAAAATAAACTCAAAAAATAAATGGCACCATGCTTATTATAATATAAAAAAATTTAATTTGCTTCGAAAGCAACTCGAGAGAAATTACAAAGTTACTCAAACCTCAATTAATTTGTTGTATTAAATTGTAATTATTCAGGATCTGATTTTTCAGGACTATGATTAATGAAAAAATTAATTAACCGATTGATACCATATCCCTACTACAAATACAAAAAAATAAGCGCTTAATATTTGTGCTTACGTGATTAACGGCATTGAGAACAACATGAAGTTTCTGCCTTTGACCTTCTTCAGACTGTGTTACTTCGAGCACGTCAAGTTTTTTACCTGTAAGTTTCTCCCATAATTTGTGCAAAACCTGGAAAATTTCAATAACTCAGATTTCCAATTATATAATATATGTATGTATTAGGGTGCCCATCGAAAATGCTTCTTTTCGAGATTTCAAGACCCTACCCCCTATAATTTTATTCGTTTTTATGAGAAATATTATTGCCTATTTTTATAGATTTATTAACTTTAACTTTAAGACTTAAGACTTAAATACGTCCTAGAATTTATATGTGTGTATGTTTCGGAATTTCAGATTTTATTAGCAGTGTGGCTAAGGAATTCATCGATACTTATTAAAATTGATATATACAATCGCTCTTTAGCAAAAAAAGGGGGTTTTCAAGAAATTTTAGGAAAATGGGAGTGGCACCGCCCACTTATATCATATATGTGTATCTCAAAAACTACTTGACCGATCTCGACCAAATTTGGTACACATATTATTGAAATCGGACAAAAACCATGGGCTCCACTAACGTAACGGTAACTTCAAAAAACTCAAAGCTAGCTATATTTTAGGAGGAGTAGGTTTTGTCCGATTTTAAAAACATGCAATACAGTACTTAAGGAGGCTATGCACAATGTGTATACCAAATTTGGTTGAGATCGGTCGAGAAGTTTTTGAGATAAGCATATATCATATAAGTAAGCGGCGCCACCCCCATTTTCCTAAAATTTCTTAAAAAAACACTTTTTGCTAACCAACGACTACATATATCAATTTTGAATAAATATTGAGGAACTCCTAAGCCACACTGCTAAAAAAAATCTGAAATTCCGGTACATACACACATATAAATTGAAGGCCGTATTTACGAAAAGTCGCCTAACTTCGACAATTTTTATGCGATTGCAATAAATGAGGTAACAGAGTTTATTTGAAAATAGATTTAATTTTAGAAAGTACTCAATATTTTGAAATTAAAGTAATTATCGATGGTTAAAAAATTAAGAAAAATAGGGGTCTTTTTTTAATTTACCCGATAAAAAATTCCATCAAGCCAAGTCCGACAATAGACCATTATATACCGTTTCAAAGGCCTATATATCCTCTTCTCAGATCATATTCGATCTTTGAAATGGAATCAAAAATAGTCATTCAAACACTTATAAATCTACAAAATCGTATTTCCTGACCTAAATCGACAGGTCGCGACCTCTAAATGACCTTCAAAAAATCTATAAAAATAGGAAATAATATTTCTCATAAAAACGAATAAAATTAGGGGGTAGGGTCTTGAAATTTCCAAAAAAAAAAGCATTTTCGATGGGCACTCCAATATGTACACTTGTGATCAGCTAATTAAGCCAGCAATATTTTGATAAATTTTGGCTATTTTGCTTTCGTTAATTTAATGTTTATTATTTTCTAGCTCATTATATAACAAACACCATATAAATCCAGATTTCAAACTTTGTGCAAAAATTATGAAATATTTGCAAAGTTTCAGCTAAATTTTCAACTTTTTATTCAGATTTTTTTTTGGGTATGCCGTTTAATAACCCATTCTAGGGTAATAATGTGAAAGTCTTAAGTTGCTGAAAAATCGCGTTGATTTTTAATATTTTTTTCTGACTGCATTACAAATTTTTTTCCATACAATACAAAAATAGCCAAAATTGATCAAAATGCTGCTGGCTTAATCAGCTGATCACAAGTGTATGTTAGACTAACCTGTCCGTCGTACAAATCCTCTTCAATGCTTTGCACGATAATTCGTTGCTCAGCTAATTCATCATTCAACCAGTCGATCAGAATGCGTTGAAGTTTAATTACTTCCGGATCATTCAACGACTGGGGATCTATTACTGCGCGTTGCTCCAACTCACGCAATGCGTAGTCTTCTGGAGGTATGTCAAACTGATTGGGCAGTCCTGGCGATTCAATTGCATGTTTTCCTTCCTCTTCCACCTTTTGAACTTTAATTAACAGAAAAAAGGGATAAGATTCATTATATGAAACTGAAAGCCATATTTTTAGAATTGATGAACACTCTCAAAATACTAGCGAAATACAAAAATCTCAAATTTGGTTATGAAGTTTTATGCAAACTCCTAAGAATATTTGCTTATCACACGGTTTTTTTTTTGTAAGGATAGAGAAACTTTGCATCGCTCTTACGAGCGTCAGCGTTTTATGGATATGGTCGACAGTAAGGCCACTGTCCAACCCGACGATGCACGACGACTGAGTGCGACGATGCGCGAGCTATTTTAGCCTATAATTTACATTGCATGCTTCGGTGGATGGAACCAAACGTTGATTGATCAGAAAGCTGCACAAACTGCCAAAAACCAGTTCGCCTCTTGTTTTCACCAGAGGCGAAGTTCAGGTGGCCATCGGAATGGTAAATGTTGGTGCTGAAAAAATTGGGTGCAGCGGAATAAAATACCTCTACAAAAGCCTTAAACTGTCGATAGCCACTATCGCCATTTATGGAAATCGGGAAAAGTTGTCCCGCGACTTAAGCCAGGGAAACTTGCCAACAAAGGGGAGTATGATCGCCCGTACTGAAGACACTTTTAACCTTGTTATTCCCGTACTTTTCATACCCGCTGACCCCAACGAAGGATCATCATGGTTTTACGCACTTTACGCCCCTACCGTAACCGCCTGTGTACGAGAACAGTTCTAGTAGCGTTGGATCTGTCTGAAGCGTTAAATACCGTCTGCCATTCCACGCTACCAGAAGACATACAGGTCTCCACTCTCCCACAAACGGTGATTGGTCTACACTTGTCTCTTACCTGCCACGTCTAAATTGCCAAAACTAATAAAAATTAAGCAGGGTGTCCCAGAGACTAGTGTCCCCTCCCCGCTCCTGTTTAATTTTTATTTACATCTCAAAACTTCCCTAACCACCAGAGGGACTTTCCATTACCTGATATCCTGACGATTGCTCGATATTGGTATCCGGCAATGGAATTACAAGACCTGTGCTCAAAACTATACGGCTATGTCTCCGAACTTTCTCGTTTCTGCGCGGGTGTATTTGTGAGGGTTATAATCCTTCTGCTTCTTTTCTTCGCACCACAGAAAGAGAATTCTACTTTGTGAATTTGTATAAGACATTTTGTTATTTTCAAAAAACACTTGCACTTTTCGCACTTTCTTTTGATGCATTTCACGCATTTTTATATACAAGACATGTTTATAAAACACCCAGTAACCATAATACATATCATTGGGCGGCAGCCCAAGGTTTACCACACAGAGAGGGATTCTAGTTACCTCATCCTTTCCCAAGGCTACACCACTGGGACGGTAGCCCCAGTTGGTGCACAGCAAAAGGAGAATTCTATTTGGTAAGGGTTATAGTCCTAAAGCGTGACCGAAGGCCGCCTACGCAGAAAGGGATTCTACGCAAAAATACTGTGGACGCAACTCCTAGTTTTCGACTCCTATTTTTAGTTTTATTTTCTAGCGAAACGGTGGGTATTCTTTACTTGTTCCTATTCGCCTTTATAATATTCTTACGCTGCACACATAATACTCATAATTGCTATTAAACTTATAAAATAATATAACTTATTATATTCGCCTTTATAATATTCTTACGCTTTGAACATCTGGCAACACATGGGAAAATTTTAGTGAAAATCGACCCGAAAAAAAAATAAAAAAATAAATGCGGCGTCTAGGGGGGTATTTTGATTCTAAAAGTGAAGACCCCAACCCGCGCCTCTTATAGTTTTTAAGTAATTTGTTATTAAACTTGCGAAATTCACCAAAAATGTGGCATACCTAAAGAATACCGACCCTTGAGCTAGAGAAAAAAGAAACATGGACGTGGTGTACCCCTTTCTGCTGAGTTTAATGGTAAACTTTTTTTTGGTGCAAATTGACAGGGACGGCGCTAGGGGGGGGGCTAAACGTGGAATTTTCAACATTTTCAAAAGCTTATATTTCGAAAACTATTGAACCGAAATATGGACACAGTTGGAAAGGTAATTGAAGGACCTTTCATTCAATATATATATTATATATCTATGTATATAATGCAAACATATTTTGAGCAAAAGTAAAGAAAACGAAATTATGGCATTTTTTTTTATAAAAATGTATGTTTTTCGTAAAAAATACGTGATTAACTATATTAACAAATATGTTTATCGGAAGGACCATAAAAATACCTTTAATTCGGCGTATACTTTTATATAGTTAGGTTTAAGTACAACTGCCAGCAGTGCAATAAAACAACTGTATTAATGTTATATGTTCTCTGCAAAAGGTGTTCCTTTTATTTGGCAACACAGAAAGAAGAATTCTACGTAGTGAGGGTTATAATCCCTAAGCGCGGCCGAAGGCCGCCTACGCAAAAAGGTGTTCTCTGCAACAGGTGTCCTGACCCTTTGATTTGGCAACACAGAAAGAAGAATTCTACGTAGTGAGGGTTATAATCCCTAAGCGCGGCCGAAGGCCGCCTACGCAGAAAGGAATTCTACGCAAAAATACTGTGGATAGCATAGTTTGATTAATTATCCATTTAATTCTACAACTCAATCTTATAACAAATAACGTGATTAAAAACAATGGTTTGTATATATTTCTTTAGTATTTTTTTAATTTTAATTAAATTTTTGTAAAAACTAAAGAGAGTAAGATTTTCTATCGCGCGATTTTTTATTCCACATTTTCGCCTGCGGCGCTTTTCCTTTTTCATATAAAACTATATTTTTATATATATTTAGTCAAATATGATGCCCACAAGAATTTTTTGCTACGTCATATATCAAATTAACGGTATTTTTGTGCTCTTTCTGATAAACATATCTGTTAATATAG